CAGCCAATTTACTTACTTCAAACCTTATTACGGCCGCAATCTCAATTGAAAATTTTCAGATTAAGACTAATTTTTGACATCCATTATATTCCGTCTGATACTAAGACTCTTATTTTCGTCTGTTAAATGGAATGCATGACTGTTATAATTAGATTAGAGCATTGGTAAAGTTAATATGCAGGCCAGAGTTACAATACAATAAACTTTTATTAATCGACATTAAATATTATTTGTAGGAAAAGTACAATGACGATGCGCTTAAGCAGGGGTCGAGGCCATGAAAGATATTAGTTATTTTGAAAAACGCTACAGGTTCAAAGACAAAGATATAATATTTACCACAGATTACAACAATCATAATCGACGAAAAATAGGTCAGAATGACAGATGACTTCACAATAATACGAATAATAATGTTTGAACCACCAACCCACACCTTTGCCTACACATAGGAGTATACCACGTACGTAGGTACTAAACACACACTACAGCTGCTACTACTGCTACGAGATCGTAGTATGTTCCGAGACCGCTACGTACTGCTACAAAAATACTTCAATGTTACTATGACCGCTACGGAGTAGTTGCTCAAAAAATGTTGCTACGACTCGGTTAAGTCCGAGTAGGAAAATTGGTTTTCTTAAGAACTAACTACTATGATAAAATGCACTAAATAATGTACAACCCGCATACCATTTTGCTACAAACTGTAGTACCTACATTGCTTTGCACGGATAATATTAATGTTATGTTTTTGCTGCTACGATATTGTAGTGCGTTCCATGACCGCTACGCACTTGCTACAACTTTAATTTGCTACGACTTGGTTTTTAGCCAGGCAGCGAGCGTAGAAAAATGAAACATAAAAATAAACTCGCGGACGAATTTTTTATGTCCTCTGTAAATAGTCATAGGTACATACATATTTAGTTATATTTAATTAAATTTTCTCCATTAATATTAGGTACTGTTTGGGAGACTGTCGCCCGCACCCAGGGTGCACCACGGGGAGGTCTTCTGGCACCGCACCCCACATATTATGAATATTACAACTTTTTTAACTTTTTGAATCGTTATAGGTATCTTAGAACCTGTACCTCGTAAGAAAAAAGTGTTCACACACTTTTTATAGGTAAAATGATCTATAATTTTTGTCGAAGTATCTACCGTTTTGCTGAAAATCGCGAAAAACAAATTTTTTTGACCTTTGAATTGCATATTTTGTTTTCCATACACGGGAATGATGGAGACTTTTAAACATTGTTTATAATTATGTTTTGAATAATTTTACTGATTTTCAGCTTGTTGGGACTCTATGTAACTTCATTCACAAGGCCTCTGAACGATTGCCCCATTGCCACCGCCTAAATACACCACATTTTACAAGCAATAACTAATTAAATACCTACTTACTGAATATGGTATCTGCTTACCTACTTGTACATATATTATGTAGTTGCATGTGAGGCATGGTTATCTGCAATCGGTAATCGTAATTTTTTTCAATACTTAGTAATTATTCACCACACTATACCAAATTTTCTTTCACTTCACAGAAACTTTAACCACCACTTTAAACACACACAATAATTCATTTCACAATATTTTTAACATTTTATGACCATACTTGTAGGTACATAGGTGTATTAAGTATGTGTGATTTTTGGTACCTATTTGGTATTTTACAATTAATTCATTTCACAATAAATATAACATAGGTACTGAATTGATTCTGATGAGATTTGTTACCCATACAGCGTTGGAATTTATTTAACCTTGGAAAAGACTAAATAAAAAATCCAAATTCTGCCAGAATTCACTATTAAGTATACGCGGACGGAGTCGCGAGGAATATTATATTCAAAAAATGAATTTTGGTGGCAACAAAGCACCTATTCTTTGGCACATAGGTAAGTACCTATGTATATTTTTACCAAAAAGTCGAGAACGATTTTTTTAATTCCCATATTTCCCGCCCGCTGCCATAGACAACAGCAAAATAGTACTTTTCTTTTTGTCACCGGCTCGGGCCTTTAATTATGCAGCCAAAAAGTACCAATAATGTTTGCAGGAGTTTTAGTTAGATAAAAGTGCAACCTCCTACCAACTACGTAAACAAAAAGGATTTTAACAGTTACCTATGTTATGGTTACCTATTAATTACAATTATTTTTATCAGTTACTGTTCTTGCATAGATATTATCATATCAGTGTGTTCTTGTTATTATGACATGTGATGATACTTTTAACATTAAAAAAAGTGTCAGACTGTTATTAAGCCGAATAGTCAGAAAATGTTGATTGATTTTAAACTCGACTAACTAATTGCATTTATTCATAATATATAAATTATGCAACTTAATTTTGCTTATATTTTTTTTTTTTTTTTTTAAAAAAACGTTGCCCCACATTAGGATTTTCTCCTGTGTCGTGGGTGCGTTTATATATATTGTTTTTTATAGAATATTATTATTAGTTTAACCTTTCGAAACACTAAATCGGTCCTGTGTTCATTCTACAAGTACTGAACTGCTATTCGAATGAAAAAATATGTTGATTTTATTTGTTTCTTATTTTTGTACATTGTACTCGAAATAAACTTTGGGCAAATGACGTGACAATTGATAAGGTTTCGTTATAAACGATTAAACATTATCAAAACAGTTGATTCATTTCAAAAAATCGACAATTTGTTTTAGTCTACAACAACGTAAATAAAAACTTATCGATGAAAGGTTACCTATTCCAGGTATTTTTTTATAGCTGTCGGTATTTTCTTGTTACTGTCACATCGATAGGCACTGCAATACACCATTTTATTTAACGTTTAAAGGTATAAACAATTAATATTTTGTTTTATAACGACAATGACATAGTTGTAGGTAAAGATAACAATATGGCGGCACGCAAAAAACAGGCTACATGTCAATATTTGTCTATGTTTGGAGCAGTGTGGCTACAAGTAAAAGAACGAGTCACCATTATTAGGTTGGTGCTTGATAGGACAAGGACAAAGATTGATGTATATCATTCATATTGTACGTATAACTAAGAATTAATGTTTGGTCTCCGTATTGTACTTCTATGGCTTTCTTTTTTCTTTTTTTTAAGGGTGGAAAATCATCGAATTACTGCTCCCGCCTAGGTGAGGCGGAAGGGAGTGTCAGACTCTTACTGACTAAAACCCACCCCGTTCCTTCTCCTGCACGTCGAGCCGGAGCCTCGGTTACCCGTTAGGTTCTCCGCGACTCCGAATCGGCAACAGCCCTATTGGGCCCCATCTGTGGTGGTCTGATGGCTCTTTGAGGCGCGCGCGGAACGCGACGCGCCGTACTCTCGGGTCTGTTTCTGGTCGGACGGGGACCCACCCATGCTCGCCGTCCGCAGTCCCGCGCTTACGGTGGCCGGAGATCGTCCCGCGATCCCCGACGCCCGGTGTCCTGTCGGTCCTTCGCGATGGCTGGGTTGCGAGGAGGCAGCGCTTCGCTGCCTCACGCGTCCCGCCTCCTCCTTAGCTAGCATGACTGTTTCGCAAAAGGAGGAGACGGCATCCCAGTCCCCCTCGCTCCGCATCATGGCCAGCACTAGGCCCGGACGCGAGAGGTCGCCATCGCCGATCACTTCCCTGAGGGCACGGCGGTGCTCAGCCCACGCAGGGCATTCTCCCACTGTGTGTTCCACCGTGTCCTCAGGGTGGTCCTCACAGTGATGACACCCGGGCGTTTCCTCCCGCCCCATCAGACACAGGTACCTCCCGAAACTTCCATGTCCGGTGAGGACCTGCGTCAGCCGGTAGGTGAGGACGCCGTAGCGTCTCTCAAGCCACTCCTCAAAGAGGGGACTTACCGTTGCAATGGCAGCGAGCCCAGCCCTCGGTTGAGACAGTCGTTGCTGCCATTCCGCCATGAGATCGCGCCGGAACTCATCCCGCCACGCTCTTATCTGGCGTGGCAGCGGAGTTTCACCCCGGCGACGTGCCTCCGCGCGCATGTGATACACGCGCGCGAGCACCTTCGCCTCCAGATCCCACGGCGGTAATCCGGCAAGGAGGTTCGCCGACTCCCCGGAGATCGTGCGGTATCCGCGGATCATTCGGATCGCCATGACCCTTTGTGACATGAGCAGCGTCCGAGCGGGACGCCGTAGAGGGCCATGGACCGCACGACCCCGGCGTATAACCTCCTACTTCTATGGCTACGACATCTTTTACAGATCACATCCCAAATATTCCTTAAAAAATGTTCAATATACAGTTTTGACTTTGACTTTCTTACGATTTTATTTCATTACATAAAATATAGATTATTTATTTACCATTTAATGTACACAATTTGATTACATAATGGCAGATAAGGCGAAATTAATGCCTTATTATTATTATCTACTTGTAACCATATTTGCACATATTAGTAACCTTTCAACAAAGTAAAAGTCAAAATCATTTATTTCAATTAGACTAGGAAGGCACTTTTAAACGTCAACAATATAAAAAAGTTAAGCTATAAATAATATAAAATAATAACGCTAACATAAATTATTGATAAATATCTGTATTTTAAATTCATTCATCAAAGTCCACCAACCGTACAAACTACAAAACTAATTCTATTTTGTTCGATTATGACAAAAATACAAAATCGACTAAATTTTGTCTATGTTTCCATAGAGAAATACTAACCGTGTCACAACATTACTCAACATCTGTCATTCATTCAGCAATCAGCAGGTTTGGATTCAGGTGATTAGAAGTTCAGAAGTAACAGTCCATCGTTTTTATGGAAAAATTAAAACATAAAAGATAAAAAATTGCTCATAAGTAATACCGTATCATTCCAGTGTTTACTCAATTAAGTATACTCAGTGCAATGAGGTCATCATTAGCAGTTATCAAAAAGTAAACTTCGTTTGTCCATGACAAACAATCTATGTAGGATTCTGTGAATTAGTAGTTAGTTTTTAAGAGTTGTTGTAACGACCAAGTCGTGTAAGAAGGCCCTAAGATGAAGTTCGCTGAGCACTTAAGTGCACACATTACGCCCGAGTGGCGTAAACAATATATAAACTATGAGGTAAGTGTTGTAGTATTTTTATTTTATTATTGATAAGGATATAATATTAGTGTTATTGTATACTACTAAACTTTCTACCCACTTTTAAGATCGTGAAAACTTTGAGGCCCTACGTTTGATATCTTAACTGTTAATTTACAGTCTGATATGAAAAAGTTAAATTGGTTATGGTATTGCTTTTTATAAATGCAGAGAGACAAGTGTCACTGAGTATTAAGAAGGTCAAGGGAACAAAAATAAATTCTTTATCCTTGACTGAAATACAAACAATAGAAAACAGTAGTTGGAAAATTATTTGACATTGATCGTAAACTTTTTATCAAAGTAAAACATATTTGTGAGATAAGGGCAATCAAAGAAATGAGAATTATTTGAAAGTAAACTTTAATGAAAAAATAGTTAACGATGCAATGACCACTAAATGATAGAACTATAGTACCTATAGATCATTAAGGCATTGGCTGCCAATAAAAACTGTTGAAGGCAAATCCTCCGCTAATGTCGGTCACCGGTGACTGCCATGGTGTTTAACGTGTTAATTAGCTTGTTGTTTATTTGCTCGCATTTACCTAGTACTATTATCAAATTAGTATAATTCCGTGCTTAGAACTGAACATAGCAGTTAGGAAAAGTAAATTAGTAGTAATATTTCCGATTATATAGTAAATTCTTAAGCAAAACCCCACATGTAAATAAATTTACATGTGAAAAAGTAAAATATCAGAAATTCAATGATTGTTTTCCATGAAACCATTACCAAGTAATAAAGAAACAACCAGTTCGTAATGCTTTGTATGATCTTTTCGCAGATATAACAGTCAGTTTATACTAGTTTTCTTACACTGTCAAGGTCGTCAGTCTTACATTAATTACATTGTGTTATAATAAACTTGAAAAATCTTATAACTGTGGGGGGTTTGCTTGTTTTTCTCATAAATATAATCGTATGTGAATGTATATTACAGATGAAAATTAGATTTTTTTATCGCTTTCATTAGTCTAGGAGTTTACATGGAGCCCAAAAAATTCAAGTATTCACCCATACACAATTGTAAAATACTGCAGGGCCGTGATCTGTTCAGTTATGAGTTTGTCCAAAAGTAATAGTGTTTTGTGACCTCATACTTACTCATACTACATACACCTCATAAATAAGTAAATAAACAAATATACACCATAGATATAATATGGTCAAATATATTGTCCATGAATGATTGTAATTAACTCTGCAATTTTTCTGGGGTAATATTGATTGGGGCATTCTCCTAAAGAGTAGAAAGTTTACAAAAAGTAATGACAAAAAATTATATTTATGATAATGTTATTATTTAGTGGCAACAACAAGATGTCCATCGTCCACTGCTGAACATAATCTTCCCCAGTCACCTTTACCTGTAGGTTCTGTCCACGGAATAGAAATTTTTTTCCTATAGTTCTATCCATCAAGAAAATACTTCCACAGTTACATTCATAGGATGTGATTGTCATGGTAGATTAACATTGACAATAAATATCTAAAATAATTTTATGTGTAACTCAAATAATCTGTGAAGGCCAAGCTTACAGTAATTTTCACCCAATGTCAAATGGATGCTAATTGTCATAAATATTTGCATAACAGACACACTCATAAAGCATGGTCCATTCTTTGACAAATATGCTGATTCAAAATGAGGCTGCTAATCTTAATTTAAGTTAAGGTATTACGCCACTGGTATTACGTCACTACTTGGTAGTTCGAAAGATATTGTGTCCTAAAATCAAAAATTTAATCAAAAATTACTTTTCCAATTGATTTTTTTTCTCTCTCAAATATTATTATGATGTTTGTCATAGTGTAACTATGTGTAGCAGGCTGTTTTCCCTATAATTTTTAGGGTCAATTTCAAGTCAGGCCTGTAATTAAAATTAAAATTACTATAGTTAATCAGGTATAACATCTGGGCTACTCTTTATTCTGCCTCATTGGCCGAGTGGTCGCAAGTGCTACTGCCAGGCAAGGTTCTCTTCCCTCGGTTCTCGGGTTCGATTCCCGGGTAGGGCAAAGTATTACTGGGCTTTTTAAAAAAATCTCAGTAGTAGCACGGAGTCTGGAATCGTGCCCAGTACATGGCAATAGGCTCACCCCCTATTACATGGGACTCATAACATAAATAGTGAAAAAGTGGATGTTAATTAAGTGCTCTAATGTGCACCTCTGCCTACCCCTTCGGGGATAAAAAGGCGTGATGTTATGTTATGCTACTCTTTATTCTGATAACACATGCAAATCCGCTGGCAGAGACAGTACCTATTTACCTACATGAAAAATCATTATTTATCTACAGGAAATGAAGGCTATGTTATATACAGCAGTGGAGGAAGCGCCTTCAGCTGAAAATGTGGAGCCCGAAGTATTATCGCGACATTTCGCCAACTTCGATGAAACATTCTTCCATTATTGTGATCAGGAACTAAAGAAAATCAACACGTTTTACTCAGGTAAATGCCTATTCTCTTTCAATGATCATTTACTGTTTGTATTTTAAGTAGTTTTACTAAAACTCTTTAACTTGACTGGTAAAGTGCAAGAAAGATCAGAAAAGAAAGTCTAGGAAAGGTAATTGAGCAAGTGTGGGAGAGCCATGCTTCGGCACGAATGGGCTGGCTAGACCGGAGTGATACCACGGCCTCACAGAAAACCAACGTGAAACAACGCTTGCGTTGTGTTTCATCGTGTGAGTGAGGTTACCGGAGGCCCAATTACCCCCTCCCTAGTCCCTGAATCCTCCACAATCCTCAAATTCCCAATTCCCAAAAGGCCGGTAACGCACTTGTAATGCCTTGGTGTTTCGAGTGTCCATGGGCGGCGCCGATTGCTTACCATCAGGTGATCCGTCTGCTCGTTTACCGGCTTATGCTATAAAAAAAAGCAAAAAGTGCTAGTGAGTTTCCTAATTAAATAATTACCTAGTAATTTTGCGTGGAGTCTGAAAATTCTGTGATGTTTATCCCTATTTTACGGAAGGGTAAAACCTAGGTGGCTGATTAAACACGAGTGAATAAGTTGCTTAAAGGCACCCTTGGTCAAACGCTGGCCTACATCAGTGGTATACCTACTTACATTATTTTATATCTTTTACAGAGAAACTTGCTGAAGCCACGAGAAAATTCGCAACACTGCAAAGCGAATTGAAATCACATTTCGAGACAATAAAGCCTAAAGGAAGCGGGGATAGCAAAAAGGCTATACCTAGGCGGAAAGTTCAGGAGTTAAAACTGGCATTCAGCGAATTCTATCTAAGTTTGATACTTCTACAAAATTACCAAAATTTGAATTATACTGGGTTCAGAAAAATATTGAAAAAACACGATAAGGTTAGTTTAGTTTGATAATGTTTCTTATCTATTTCATATTTAGGTAGATTATCCTGTGTACATAGTGACCAGAGCCGGGTGATATCACTATCTCGTACTAATATTTACATCTTCATAATTTTACGGTGGCTCGCGTTGTTTGTCGTGAGAATTTATTGAGTCACCGTAATATTTATAGTTACCTCATGTGTTTACGTTTAGCCTTTTGGTCATCAATTCGCAGTCGACGAAAGAAGAAAAATATATCTTAATTAAAATGGTAATTATAAGGTTAACCACAAAGTTGGCCGATTCGGAGTCGCGGATAACCTAACGGGTTACCGGGGCTCCGGCTCGAAGCGCAGGAGAAGGAACGGGGTGGCTTTTAGTCAGTAAGAGTGTGACACTCCCTCCCGCTTCACCCAGGCGGGAGCAGTCATTCGATGATTTTCCCCCCTTAAAAAAACCACAAAGTTGGCACGACTGCTTGGCAGTAACGGTTCCCGTACATTCAAATTATTTGTCTGATCAACAAATTGTGGTCCTGGATCTGGGTGTGATGTGTGGATTTTTATATAAAAATACATCCACAACAAGAGACGCACATCATTGTTTAATTGCGCTAATCTCCAGAACTACTGGATCAATTTAAATAATAATTTGTTTGTTAGATACTACATTTATCGAGGGAGGTTACAGGCTATAAAACATCACGTCTAGTCTACATAAATTTGCCATAGGTATATTTTAGAATAAGTCATAGCAATAGTTCTCGAAGTGTAGGGATATTACAAAACTACATGAACTATAATATCTTGAGATTTACTTCTGTGGTTTTCCTCAACTTGTTCGAATAGGTATAGTTAGTTTGATGGCTAAGTAAAGACGTTATTATTGTATAATCCATTGCTCATTTACTTCGTATTATTTTGTTTCACATTGATACAATATGTTAATTTTCATGTACATCTTTGTCATACCCTTGTCAGTCAAATCTACATCTGTTATGGGCCGCCGCGAGCGCCATTCTGACTGCGCAATTATGATACAGATGATTAGTTTAGCTTACTTAAGAAATAAAGAGATAAACAAAGAAAATTCATTATTACGCCATGACACACAACAAGACTACAGGTCCACACAAAAAGCCCATGGTGCGTCGCAGCGCAAAAGTCTGGAGCTCAATACCGTGCTTAATACCGTGGCTGCCCCAGCACGAAGGCTCGAGTCCACGACGCTGATTCGAGGCTTAAATACAACCGCTACTGCAGGTTTACATATTAGGGCTTGTTACGATGCGTAGTGTAGAGTCATAGGGTTAATTTTGCGCTAGATCAGATAACCTCAAGTTTTTTGCCAGAGTACATACATATAACATGGAGCTATAATATATATAAACGTTTTTTTTTTCTTTTCCTCTTATATTATCTTCTGATTCACTTCGTTGCGGGAACCAAGACAGTTATTCATGTCTCTGGCACGCGCCGGACTTCAGTGTTCCGGTGTTTTCATGGTTGTATCTACTGTAGATCCTGGCTTACAGGAGTTGCAGCGGTTTTGGGAGGTTAGAGCGGGCTTGCCCTTTGAACAAAAAAATAACATGGAGCTTTAAAGTAATTTTACAAGACATAAACAAATATCGAACTAACGCACAATTTTCCACAGTTACTAAACGTGAGTAACGGCGCACAATGGCGGGCGGAACATGTCGAAACATCACATTTCTACACCAACAAAGATATAGACAGATTAATAAGCGATACAGAAGCCACAGTCACTAACGATCTGGAAGGTGGTGACAGACAGAAAGCTATGAAGAAACTAAGGGTGCCACCTCTAGGAGAACAGCAAAGTCCATGGACCACTTTCAAAGTTGGGCTGTTTTCAGGGTCATTTATTGTCCTGTTCATCACTGTGGTGTTGTCTGGTAAGTCTGTTATTATGTTTATACTGTAGCCTTTGTCATTTACTATTCCATCACTATGCTAGGCTTCCTATGAGTCCCCTATCTCACTAGCACGGCGGTTATTAACGGCATAACATTTCATAGTTTGAAATACGGGCATTGAACAGCTTCGCTTGTAATCGGTTTCTTGTTTCACCAAAATCTGCGGTTAAGAACCGTTACAGTTTCGTTCTATTGAGGTTGGAATTGGAACCTTTGACAGTATTGTCTTTGAAGTGCCATAGAAAACGCCGCGTCGACATGTTCTGGAGTAGACTAGACTAAGTTACAAGGCAAACATAGTGTAGTGTTCTCTAGCTAGGTGGAATCCAGAATCTGCTGTGATTGACAGAGATTGTTCGAAGTCCGAGTTTAGTGGCTCGCTATTTGAGAGGAGCTGAAGGCTATGCTACTGAGAAATAATTTTCGAAAATATCAGAATTTAGACTACCTTTTTGTGCATCTGCCTTTTATCGTATTAAGCCAATTGCTAATTTGCTAGTATAGTGTTGGTGCCTACTTCGTTTAGACTTCAACCACAAACTATCGTCTTGGGAAATTATTAATCTTTCATTTTACGTAAATTGGTATTGGTTTTACCATATTTCATATTCATATTTCCTCCACTGGATCATTACTACCAAGGTTTATTGGTCACTAACTGTCATAGTTTTTTTTATATCACGACGTCGGCAAAAAAGCAACCGGCCCATATAACGGTAAAGTGGTTACCGTGGCCTCTGAACGCTTGCAACACATGACATGCGTCTTGTCGACCCTTAAAAAACATCTACATATCTTTCTGTCTAATTTCTCCGAAATCGGTCCGACGACGGTAATTCGTAATTACAGATACCGGATTTTACCGTTTAGTTAGAACTTGGATTTATTATCGTATTGATAACATTACCACTTAAAAGTATGACTCTTGAGTACGTTCAATAGTTAGAAGATTTTATCAGGAGCTTATCTATAAGGCATTTATTGAATAGTTTCAATCATAGTTTTGGTTCTTATTATTATGACTAACGTTGATATCTATATAAAAGGAAGTCGTGTTGATTATATTATTAAAGTCAAGAACAGGTAAATTGATTTGGTTGAAAATGGATGGAGAGAGTTTTATAGAACCAGGAGACGGACATAGGACTTTTTAATCAAGGATATTTAGTAAATCCTTCGGGAACGGAAAATACGAGATTGCGTGTTCGAAGTCACGTGCAGAAGCTAATTGTTAATAATACGGGGAAATATGTATGTACAAACTTACGTCGTATAGGTTCTAACGTAGTTACCGTACCTTAAGTGTACGTAAGTACGTTAAGTGTGGGAGAGCCATGCTTCGGCATAAATGGGCCGGCTCGACCCGAGTGATACCACGGCCTCACAGAAAACTGACGTGACGTGAAACAACGCTTGCTTAAAAAAATACTTTAAATTTTATGTACTCTGACGGCTTTTTTGCAGTTACGTGTAGTAGATACTCTGCTAAATGTCGAAAGATTTCAATTAAGGCATAATATAGTACACTAGCTCGGCTCACCAACGGCTGTCGTCCGCGTTCACGTATAGGAAGGCCATACACGCTAGGTTATGCATGATGGTTATAACTTTGCATGCAAAACCAACAAGCATAACCGAGCACCGATGCACCGATAACTGTACAGTTTAATCACATACACGCTTTTTATTAAGGGGGGAAAATCATCGAATGACTGCTCCCGCCTGGGTGAAGCGGGAGGGAGTGTCAGACTCTTACTGATCAAGAATCACCCCGTTCCTTCTCCTGCACGTCGAGCCGGAGCCCCGGTTACCCGTTAGGTTCTCCGCGACATCACATATACGCTAGGGCTTGCCTGTCGGTTATGCATGCACGGCTAAAACCATCATGCAAAACCTAGCGTGTATGGCCTCCTTTAGACATTAGGTCTATGGCATGTAATTAATATGAATGTTACAAATATATTTTAATTAATTTTTAGTATTTTATCTTATCCAACCTTGAAAACATGGTGTTACATATTTAATGTGCTCTACTCACGCACTTTTGCGGTATTAAAGGCAGTTTAAGTGTATGAGAACCATGCTTCAGCATGAATGGGTCGGCTTGACCGGATTGATACCACGGCCTCACAGAAAACCAACGTGAAACAACGCTTGCGTTGTGTTTCGTCGTGTGAGTGAGGTTACAGGAGGCCTAAGGCCGATAACGTAACGTAATTGTAACGCCTCTGGTGTTTTGGGTGTCCATGGGCGACGCATATTGCTTACCATCAGGTGATCCGTCTGCTCGTTTACCGGCTTATCCCATAAAAAAGTAATTAATAATAATGTAAATACCAGAGGTGGATTGAACCTACAGAGCCCTCTAACCAAATGCCGATTCGGAGTCGCGGAGAACCTAACGGGTTACTGGGGCTCCGGCTCGACGTGCAGGAGAAGGAACTGGGAGGTTTTTAGTCAGTAAGAGTCTGACACTCCCTCCCGCCTCGCCCAGGCGGGATCAGTCATTCGATGATTTTCATCCTTAAAAAAAACCAAGTACTTCTCTCGCGTTCCTAATTTGGCACGCGTGTCTAACCTGGCGCTACTTTATAACCTGGCGCTACTTTATAACCTGGCGCTCTATGCACTAGCCTAGATTACTCTGGATAATACGCCTCTGGTAGACACGTTAAACCATCAGCAATAAAGCCATAAAATGTACTCTTAAGCACAATTTATTGGCATAATCTAAGTACTCCCTGTTATCTTATGATTCTGTAATATTTTCCAAAGAGATTACATCTCAATCCTTGTGAAAATATTGCGTGTAACTTATCGTTTACTGACCATCTTGTTCTATGCAAATTTTGCGATAAAAGTGTTAGTTAGATTATTATTGTTATCGGAGCTAAATATAAAGTTTATTGATACTGGTTTTATTGTCCTTTAAGATTAGTAGGGTTTCTTTTGTGCATTGCGGTTTGCGGTTATTTTTGCAGTTTTTATGATTCAATCCTTTTCTTCTAATAATAAATACTTACAGTTAAATCTGCGTAGTTTATGAACTATAGTAGCCAAGTGCCACAGTCGTTGTTTCAAGAGACTGTGTCCGCCTTTTTTTTCATCGTCTTTGTATAAAACACTCAAAATAAAATTTTGTTCCAGCACTATTCCATGAAGGTGGTACAGAAAACTTCAAGACTGCCTTCAGACTGTACCGGGGTCCATTCTTATTAGTCGAGTTTATATTTTTGATTGGAATAAACGTATACGGCTGGAGATCTTCAGGCGTGAACCATGTTCTAATATTCGAGTTGGACCCAAGAAATCACCTTTCGGAACAACACTTGATGGAGTTGGCCGCCATATTTGGTGTTATATGGGCCTTGAGTATATTGAGTTTTATATACAGTGCGAGTCTAAGCATACCTCCGTTCGTCAACCCACTGGCTCTGGTTATCATAATGCTGGCGTTCCTCATGAATCCCTTGAAGGTGTTCCGTCATGAAGCTAGATTCTGGTTTTTAAGGATATGTGTGAGTATTATTTGTTTACATAGTTTTTTTGTGTTATAAAGTTGACCTGGGTTACTCTTGAAAGCAATCTCAATGTCAATGCAATTTCAATCCAATAAAATCTCAACAATTATTCAATGTCAATGTGCTGTTAAAATAGCATTCAGAGTACGGAATATAAAAACCAAACTCAATACCATTTAGTTCATTAAATATCCACGCAATACTGATCCAATGAGCGCTAGTGTTGCAACTCAAGAGTACGAAATTTAACAATACCAATGTCGATCGATCAGAATTGGGTTCAAGAGTAACCCAGGAAAACGGGACTTATGTGAGGACTATGGTTTGACCTGCGTCAATCATGGAAATTTTTGATTCCGGAAGATATAGACGTTGCATAATTTTTCAACATAAAATTATTTTATGCGCGTAAAAGTTTAAACATAGTTACGTTTAAAGAAACCGATTTCAACCCCCCTCTTTTTGAAGTCTGTTAATTAATACATATATTATACTAGAGCCTTCTCCCAAGTATAACAAACACTTTTCTGAAAACCGCTCGAAAATTGGTTCACCCAATTGCGAGATAATTGCGCACAAACATACATACAGGTCAAAATGTGAATCTCCTTTTTTTGAAGTCGGTTAAAAATTATTAGTTTAACTTGGATTCCGTATACTATTTAACTGTAGTGATTTTTGTAATATTTATAATCTATACTAATATTATAAAGCTGAAGAGTTTGTTTGTTTGTTTGAACGCGCTAATGTCCGAAACTCCTGATCCGATTTGAAAAATTATTTCTGTGTTGGACAGCCGAGGAAGGCTATAGGCTATAAAATATCAGGCTACGATTATTAGGCGCCGAGCAGAGCGAGTGAAACCGCGCGGAAGTAGCTAGTAAATACAATATTCTTCAGCTTCTGTGTCTACTTACTTTGTTATTATTTGATATTGAACCGTACTCTCATTGTTACAGGGACGTATATTAGCTGCGCCATTCATGCCAGTGTTGTTCGCGGATTTCTGGCTGGCTGACCAGTGGAACTCATTCGCTGCGGCCTTCTTAGACTTCCATTATCTTATAGCTTTCTATACGACTGGCAGCGACTGGTTTAATGTTAACGGTAAGTTTTAAATATCACGAGATATTGAATTAATCATGTTTTACGGTTAAAAAGACTAATGACTGTTGAGAAAGCTAAAGAACATAACATAACATCACGCCTTTTTATCCCTTAAGGGGTAGGCAGAGGTGCACATTACGGCACTTAATGCCACTGTACAATGTAACACCCACTTTTCACTATTTATGTTATGAGTCCCATGTAATAGGGAAAGCGAAAGAAGTATGTAAGAATCGTAGCAATTGGCGTTCCATAGTCTCTGCCTACCCATGGAAGGATATGGAACGCCAATTGATAACCATGGGAGATAGGCGTTAGGTTATATATGTATGTATGTTTTACGGTTTACGTAATTGGTAACTCAAAGACTGTGAGCCCCTGGCGTGGTTCGAAATTAGTCGAGCAACGTCGCTAAATAGGTATAAGCCGCTAAAAGTTGTTATAAAGGCACTTTTTATACTTCGTTAATATTAGTGAAGTATACACTAGTAACTGGACTTTAGGTATCCCCTACATAAGATAGTTTACCATAGTCTCCACACTTAACAGGCGGGTAGGAGATCCACGTTTATTAGGTTTAAGATTAAAAAAACACGTTGCCCCATACTAGTATTATCGCCTGTGTCGTGGGTGCGTTTACAAACATACAGTTCACATAGACATGTCATGGGTGTCACTCTAAACAAAAATTTGTCGATCTCAAAAAAGAGTTGCCATGAGGGAATCAAATCAGCTACACATTCAGAAATAACGTGATTCTATTAAATGTTATTTAATTATCAACCATACGTCTAAAAAATAAGATAACAATTTCCCTCAACAGCCTCATTCGAGCGGACACAATGGTTCATAATCACCCGTGCACTAGTGAACGTGGTCCCGGCTTGGACGCGGTTCTTCCAATGCCTGCGTCGATACAGGGACAGCAGGGAGGCATTCCCACACTTGGTCAACGCTGGGAAGTATTCCACTACATTCTTTGTAGTGCTATTTGCTACGCTGCGCACTTTATACAGTGGTAAGTAGATGTTTTATTTAATGACGCGACTCAGGTGTTGTTTTAACCGCTCTGCTCGGCTCCTGTTCATCTTAGCGTGATGTTTTATAGACTGTAACCATGCTCAATAAATGCACTATCTGACTTAAAAAGAAATATTCAAATCGGCCCAGTAGTTCCGGAGGTCAGTGCGTTCAAACGCAAAGATTGCTGAAGTTTAACTTCAGCAATCTTTATATTACTAGATGACGGCCAAACAAACTCTTCAGCTTTATATCTTGTACTTACTATTATAGTTATAAAGTTGAGTATTATAAGTTTGTTTGTTTGAACGCGCTAATCTTAGAAACTAGTGGTTCGATTGGAAACATTTCTTTGTGTGTTACAATGTACATAATACAACAAATACAACATTATAATGTAACACCCACTTTTCGCTATACAGACTCCGTGCGACTACTGAGATTTTTTTTAAAAACCCAATAATACTTTGCCCGACCCGGGAACCCGAGACTCCCATGCCCGGCAGTCGCATTTGCAACCACTGGGCCAACGAGGCAGTCACTTAAGTACTTCACTATTTGTCAAATAAATGCTTTTTCTTTCTTTCATTGTTGTAAATAAAACTTAGGTATGAATTATTTAGAAACTGTATTTATATACTGACAGTTTAACTTTAACTTTTCACTAACAATGCTTATATGAGTGAGAAGTAAGTGAGAAAACCATAAAGTAGAGATGCTCGATGCCAGAGACAAGATCAAAGACAATGGTGAAGCCAATTTAAAGCCAATGCATTTACATTGTACCAATATAACAACATTGATTTCTTACTTTATGTATATTTCAGGTAAATACACAAACCCGTACGACAATCCTTTCCTATACGCGTGGTTTGCGTGCCAACTAGTATCCTCGCTGTACACGTACACGTGGGACGTCAAGATGGACTGGGGCCTCTTTAGTTGCGGACCTAATGCTGAGAACAAATTCCTTAGGGAGGAAATTGTTTATAGTCCTGGGGTGAGTCAACATTACCTGTTAATATGAAAAATTTGCCCCTTGCATTAGATTCCCCGAGGGAAGTGGAAACTATCGTTTTTTTCTTCTCCTCTTATAAATTGATCTCCTGATTTATTTCGTTTTGGGAACCAATGCCGGAATACTGAAACGTTACTCAATTTTAAGTCGTGCTGAAATATCGTGCCATCTTTGTCATTTTACAAAGAATTAGTGGTGACAGAACTATACTTAAGCGCGACTTAAAATTGAGTAGCGTTTCAGTATTCCGACACAAGACAGTTATTCTTGTCCCTGGGATGCGCTGGACTTCAGTGTTTCGGTGTTTTCACTGTTGTATCTGTAGATCCTGGCTTACAGGAGTTGCAGCGGTTTTGTTTATGCTTATGTGCATTTTTCGTATTAAAATAAAATGTTAAAGTACTCCTGTTATTGCTACAAATTTAAATATGTTGGTAAATAAACACTTTCTTTTGCTTTGGACAGACTTTGTTGACTTTGTTTGCTTTGACAAGCAAAGCCTTTCGTTAAATTTTTTATGGAATAAGTCGGCAAACAAGCACACGAATTACCTGATGGTAAGCATTTCCCACCACCATAGACACCCGCATACCAATAGCATGTACGCTGCCGGCCTTTTTGGGATTTTGAAAGGACATTCAGGATTTGGAAATTCGAAGATTCAGGATGGCAGGAGGATTAGGCCTCCGGTAACATTCACCGTTGTTTGAAGCCAGTTTTCTGTGAGGCTGTCGTACCAGACCCTTCGAAGCAACCCATTCGTACCGAAGTATAGTTCTCCCAAATGTAAATAGTGTAAATTATTATGTTTTCGGCTTACTCACGTAGTAATTTGACGAGTCCTAGTCCTAAGACTTCCTCGTACTCAATAGTTTCAAGCCTCTAGCATGGCTTGAGTTCCTCGTCAAATTACTACGTGAGTAACCCAAAACCATAATAATTTATTTAGTATGTCTCACGAAAGTTACAAGTAAATAGCGTAGGTTAGTATGTATATAACAGCCTATAGGTGGTTACTGCTGACCAAAGGTCTCTCGCACGATAAAGGTTGAAGAATTAATCACCACGCTTTCTCAATGCGGGTTGGTTCTCCTAAAGCTTGACATATTTTGATGTTATTTCAGTTCTACTACTTCGCGATAGTGGAGGATTTCGTGCTGCGTTTCATATGGACAGTGTCCTTTGTGTTGACTGAGAACAACGTCGTCAGCGGCGAGACTATGACATCTATTCTGGCACCGCTTGAAGTTTTCAGGTAAGATTTGTATTAAAACAGTAAGCATAGTTTACGCGAGACAACCGGCTGTTGTCAGAGCCGTCTTAGACTACGCTCTAGCCCTTAGCAAATAGCTATCGTGGGTGTATTTACAAACAAACAAGTTCATACACGCATGACATGTTGACCCGAAACAACAATACGTGGTTCACACAAAGATCCTTCGGGGCCTCTGAGGATGGGGGCTCTGGGCACGGACCCCGAGTGTCCTTATGTATGGTAAAGCGGCGTATGGTATGCACCCAGGCGGGAGCAGTAATTCGATGATATTCCCCCCTTAAAAAAATGTATGGTAAAGACGTATGGTATCACGGATTAGATTGTCACCTGGAACAATTCTTTGTGTGATCCATAAATTATAATATTATTGTAATAGGTTTTTTTTAAAAAAAAAACGTTGCCCGTCACTAAGATTGTCTCCTGTGTCGTGGGTGCGTTTACAAACATACAAGTTCACATACACATGACACCCAGACCCGACAACAATTTGTGGATCACATATAGAGTTGTTACGTGCGGGAATCGAACCCGCGACACGTTGCGCGGCACCCGGATGCCCAGCCACTGCACCAACCGTGCAGTCATTATCATATTATTGTTGGGATTTGTAAACACTCTCACGACACAATAGACAATTCTAATGTAGAGTAACATTTAAAAAAAATTGGTGAAGTCATTTAAAATAACAACTTTGTGTAACCCTATATATTTTATTAATATTTCAGACGGTTCATATGGAACTTCTTCCGTCTTGAGAACGAGCATTTGAACAACTGTGGTAAATTCAGAGCTGTGCGCGACATCTCTGTCGCCCCCCTCGACTCGTCCGACCAGGCTGATATTATACGCATGATGGACCATCCCGACGGAGTTATTAATAGGTTAGTGATAGTATCATACATTTATTGTGTTGTAAGAGTCGACTAAGGGTGTTACCACATCACAGTGAATCTGTGGAATGATCTGTCTTCGGCGGTATTTCCGAACCGATACGACCTTCAAACCTTCAAGAAATGAGCGTATTCCTTTTTAAAAGGCCGCCATCGCACCTGTGATTCCTCTGGTGTTGCGGGTGTCCATGGGCGGCGCTGATCGCTTACGTGATCCGTCTGCTCGTTTGCCTCCTATTCCATAAAAAAATCGATCGTCAATCGATGCCATCGATTACAATAAATAATAAAATAATTTAATTTCTCTCAAAAAGGTATTCTCGCGCATGTATCACGGAGATATATAATATCAAAGTGCTTAATGATCCTTACTAATATTATAAATCGGAAAGTGAGTTTGTTTGTTTGTTTGTTCCGATTTCACGCCGTAACTACTAAACCGATTGCTTTGAATTTTTGCATACGTAAAGTTAGAAGTCCGGATTAAATAATAGAGTACTTCTTATCCCGGAAAAATTTGATATTCCCGAGGGAAATAAAAGAATTGGTATAGATGGCGCTGTGTGTATTGGTATATGTCACATAGGCTACTTTTTATCCTTTTGTGACGCGAGCGAAGCCGCGGGTAATATTTTTATAAAATTAATTAATCTCCTTATATTTTTCAGATTTGCTAAAAACAAGAAAAATACAAAAAAGACAAAGGAGAGTGATCGAAAGCCTCTGCTGAAGAAGGAATCGATACAAGACATGCAACTGGAACTAGATTTGTCCTCCAAAATGCTGTAACTGACTGTGATACCCGTACTTATACTTTAGATATTATTGTTATAGTATTATATGAAATATATTTATAGCCAATTCTTATATTTTACACTGGTTTTATTTTCATGATCTCATTAAGATTCTACCCTGATTTTTTTTAAATAATATGTTGCCCCACACTGGGTTTTTTTCGGGGTCGTGGGTGCGTTTACAAACATACAAGTTCACATACACATGACACCCAGACCCGCAATTTGTGGATCACACAAAGTGTTGTTCCGTGCGGGAATCGAACCCGCGACACGTTGCACGGCAGCCGGTTACCCAGCCACCGCACCAACCGTGCAGTCAACAATTTTAACCGTGGAAAATCATTCAATGACTACTCTCGCATGTAGCCAATAGCCTGGCTAAGATATCATAACATAACATCACGCCTTTGATCCCCGAATGTGTAGGCAGAGGTGAACATTACGGCACTTAAATGCCACTGTACAATGTGACACCCACTTTTCACTATTTATGAGTCCCATGTAATAGGAGGTGAGCCTTTTGCTATATACCGGGCGCAATTCCAGACTCGTGCTACTACTAAGAAAATTTTTAAAACCCAGTAATACTTGCCCGGCCCGGGAATCGAACCTCGCCCAACATGGTAACGACAAAGGACATATCGTGTTAACCAAAATAAATAAATAAACAAGTAAAACAAAATTATTTATATAATAGTTAGTGCATTTTATTTCATAACTGAAGTAGACATCTGCCATAACAGTTCGACATTAGCTCCGCGTTCTAACACTAGCGATTAGAAAAGCTATTTAAATTAATATATATCACAAGTGAACTTAAATGTATTTATAATGCGTTTACATTACTAGTTTATGCTCGCGGTTCCACCCATACAATGCGACGGTGATGAGGGTATATAAATATCTTAATAATGATAGTCTAACAGTATGTAAGGGGGCGTTCTAGCCTCTGCCTGCCCCCATGGAAGACAGGCGTGAGGTCATGCATGTATGGTAGTCTAGTTTCATCTATTATCTCATTAACTGGAATCGCGGGTGACTCAGTATATTATTAGTAGAGCTTTTCTCAGTATATTCACGTGAGTAACCCGCGATTTTAGTTAATTTAGTATGTCTCACGATAGTTATTATCATCTTATTGTTGAGAAGTACTATAATATGGCAATATTTGAAATATCGTTGCTTTTTAGGACTTAGGTTTGAAGTCGTGGTTGCATTTACATCACACCTAGATCCGGAATAACAATTTGTAGATCACACAACTAATTAGGTTTATCACCCTATATCCTATACACAGTATTCATTGCTATTATATTATTATATATTGTTCGTTCCGTTGGCAATTCAAAAGCACTTCATCCTTCAGTCCTTTAGTTTTCCCCACAAAATAATCAAATAATGAGGTTACATAAAACTAAAAAAAAATTAATTCACATTGTATTTCATTGTATATTATGGATGCGTTAGTTGCTTTGAAAACAACATTGCTTGTAGCACGGGTCAAACTGATGGCAATTACAATAAAAGCAACCGAAATGAGAACCTCCTATTTTTGGAAGCCGGTTAAAATGTCAAAACTACGAAGATAATCATATTACCCCTTTTGTTTCGCGTGGTCGGGTTATAATATATTATTTAAAATTGTTAACAATAATGGTGCACGGTAAAAAATGCGTCAACAAGCCTTTTTCATACACATTAATTTTAAAAAAGCAATTTGTACCATTTATTCGATATATATCAGATTCATACATTATATCGGGCTAAAACTGTCACCCAATAATATTCCTTTCCATAAAATTTTTAAACTTTACTCATGTAGTTATAATATAGAACTATTTCGGACGATACTACAATATTTATTGGGGTACTTCGTAAAAAGAAACACAAGTCTTGGTAGCTCAAAACCACAGCACAATTTCTATGATTCAATAGAATAGTTTTATCAACTTACGTAAAATATTTCCATAATAATTTCTGTGGGTGTAGTAGACCAATAAAAAATCATTAAAAACTGTGAAACAATGCGAGTATTAGTAGTTTAAACTGTCAAACACCGCGAGACCACCGGTGACCGCAACCTATTGTTCTTTAATTGTGTCTATAATGACGGTACTCAAAGGGTTAAGGTAAAATATATCATCCTAATCAGCTAGGCCTCAAAATTCCCCACAGAATATAATACGAAATCTCTCAGTGACAAAATTAACTCTATAAACATTATAATAAAGTTACAATTTGTTGTAAAACTCTCGTACGCACGTACAAACATAATTACAAACAAACAATCAACAATTATTTACATTGTTCTAAGGCAATTGTCAATCCGTGGCGGCTTGGAGTTGGCAGCCTCCTCTTATCTTGTCTCCGACACTTGGTGTATATCTGTGGATACGAAATACATAGTAGAATCCTTACTAATATTATAAATTGGAAAGTGAGTTTGTTTGTTTGTTTGTTCCGCTTTCACGCCGTTACTACTAAACCGATTGCTTTGAATTTTTGCAGACGTAAAGTTAGAAGTCTGGATTAAATAATAGGGTAGGGTGTATTGGTATATGTCACATAGGCTACTTTTTATCCTTTTGTGACGCGAGCGAAGCCGCGGGTAAAAGCTAGTATATAATAAAAGGTTTGCTTTTTATACGAGCACAACACTAAAGGAAATACAAGTGCGTTGTTGGTCCTTGGGGAAAGAGAGGATCGGACCTCCGTAACCTAACTCACACAGCGAAACATGACGCAAGCCTTGATTATGTAAGGCCGTGGTATGACTTTGGTCAAGCCAAACTTTTCTTGCCTTAATTGTTTATTGTCTTCTTTTAAAAAACCTTGCCCCACACTAGGATTTTCTCCTGTGTCGTGGGTGTGTTTACAAACAACATACATATTCACATACACATGACACCCAGACCCGGAACAACAATCTGTGGATCACACAAAGAGTTCCGTGCGGGAATCGAACCCGCTACACGTTGCACGGCAGCCAGTTGCCCAGCCACCGCACCAACCGTGCAGTCTTTAAGTGAAGTATATTATACATAATACCAATTTACAAAATTCCCACATACCTATGAACACAACCGCAGTAGTATTAAGATCTAAGTGCCTCTAATCGTGACGCCATCTCATCGAGTTCACTCTCAGTGGTCTCTGGCACGACGTCCTCCTCCTTGCTGGTGGACGGTGCGCCCACGGCCGTGGGGGGCGCCGGCGCCTCGCCCAACTTGCCTTGTGTTAGCTCCCATAATACCTGGAAATTGCAAAGAAGAATAAATTTATTGGTCACAGAAGAATATCATTATTTGTTGTATCAATGTAAAGAAATTTCTTTTACTGTTTCCCATTTCAATGACTTAATCTTTTGATGGGATTTAGTATATTTAGAATAGATTACGGAAAACATTGACAGACCAAGTTTGGTCACACAGCTGTGAGCAGGAACTTTTTTAATTCTGTGCAAAACATTTGTCGTTCGAATGACTAGACTGCCAGGTTCAATCAAGCCCTAACTAACAATTTGAATAAAAAATTCTTAGAGATAGAATCCCCATGATGAATAATCTTCATTTCAAAATTACCTGTGTAGTTTCTAAATCTAGTCTAATAGTCAGCATGTACCTTATCAACTTCACTCTGCGCCGCCTCCTCCATTTCCTCCTCATCCTCCATGCCTGACATGGTCTCGTCCAGCATCTCCTCGATGATGCCAGCCTTCATCATCTCTTTACTCATCTCCTGCATGGTGGCTGCTACCTCTGGAAGACGGATCAGTGCTTGCATCGCTTGCATTACCTGGTAAATTTATGAATTGTGTAAATAACATGGCATTACATTTTTACTTATAGGAAAGAATGAAAATAACCCATGGAAAATTTAACTTGAGTTATAATTGTATTGTAACTTTCGTGAGACATACTAAATAAATTATTATGTTTTCGGCTTACTCACGTAGTAATTGGTCTACCTACTAGAACTAGTCGAGTTCCTCGTCGAATTACTACGTGAGTAAGCCGAAAACAGAATAATTTATTGAGTTATAATGTCTACGTTTAACTATAATTTTAGCTTCAAGTTATCAATATTAATGATATGATGCATGGTCAACCATGTTATAGCTACAGATTTACACATAAATTTTATAAAATTTTTAGTTATTTAATCTAATAACGTTCGTAGTAAGTAAAGAGGTTGAAGGCATAGGCCCCCAACGTGTATTGCCAAAAATTAAAAAGCTTCCCTTCCCAATTTCTAATTTATGTGTAACACGCGTTCAAAGCATTGGTTTAGAAAAAACCAGTAGGTAAGCGTATGTAATTTAAGCAGAGGGAGTTGCCTGGAAAGTTTCCTCATTTATGCATATTAACTCGTCGAGTACCGGTTTTATAGACACAATTAAAGAACAATGGGTCGCGGTCACCGGTGACCGCTTGGTGTTTGACAGTTTAAGAAATCTTTACGCTTCGGAAGGGCCAAACAAAGTTTTGCATTTTTACAAGGCACACTATGCTATTGAGTAAGTATTTAATTAACAGCATAATTAGCTGCATTAAAAGTAATGCCCGGGATACACGAGGCTAGTTTTTCAAGCTAGGGTAGCAAGCTAGTTCTTTTTTAAAACTGTGTCGGCTAGCTGACCTGGCTTGGAATATGCTAGTTCTGTTTACATGAGGCTATATTATTTTAAGCTAGTATTATTGCTGTGACCAAGGTGACCACACGTCCAAAATGAACTGCACGCGAAAAAAAACACTATTCGACTGAAACAGTTACTTCGAGAACTGTGCCAATTCGCACTAGACGAACTAGAAGATGAATTACAAAAACGGGTGTGGACAAGACCGTGGATTTTAAGGAGAGAAGAACGTGGATCATCTGCTTTACTTTTGGAAGAATTTCGCAACGAAGATTTAGGCGAATATAAGAGTATTTTGCGAATTGAATTATTTCGAAGAGTATTTTACTTTTGACCTCTTTGGTAGTCATAACAATACCAATTGTCTTTAATTCGACACACATTTTTTGTAGCGCTGAAACACGTTTACACTTGTCTTTATAACTTGGAAGGGTGGAGTTCCACAGACATTCATGGTCACGGTACAGTTGTACGAACTATTAATCTCCGTACTTAGTTTGGGCATCTTAAATCTCAAAAACACGTCGCGGAGAAAAACAAACGCGTGGTTACTGCTTACGAGTCAACTGAAAACTAGCTTCGCCGGCCACATGAAGCTAGTACACAAGCCAGGATAGTAAAATCAGTGGTGGGGGGCGCTACTTACCTAAAAATAGAACTCCATCCTATTAAACACTGTCCTGGCTTGTCAACTAGCTTACTAGTTTACTAGCTTAGAAATGAATCTAGTTTTGTCTACACGAAGCCAGAAGTACTAGCTTGCTAGCTTACTGACACTAGCTTGCTATCCTAGCTTGAAAAACTAGCCTCGTGTATCCCGGGCATTACAGTGTTAATATCATAATACGTAATTGGAGCATGTTGAAACATACCTCAGTTGACCTCTGCAATGACCCAGCAACTCTTAATGTGGCTGGAAGCAAAAAGGATGATAACAGAGTTGTATAAAATGTATAGGGAAAAAAAATATTTTCCTTGACCATGGAAGCATGACATTGAAAAATATAGTTTCACCAAAAAAGGTCACCCTACTACTATAGCGGGCCACTTTACCATCAGATGGTTGATAAAACTCTGTACATCTAATTAAAGTATACTAAAGACCTGCCCTGGCTTCGCACGGGTGCAATATGCACGTATTATACATATAAATCTTCCTTATGAATCACTCTATCTATTAAAGAAAACTGCATCAAAATCCGTTGCGTAGTTTTAACAATCTAAGCATACATAGGGACAGACATACGGCGGATAGCGACTTTGTTTTATACTATGTAATGTAATGATAGTACTAACTATAAATAAATGACAGGTCTACGAACCATCATTATAAAAATAAATGTTTAATTAATTAAACATATAATTTGATTTACAGCATAATAATTACGACTTAAAAACTTACAAACAATATAATTTTTTTTCTTTACCTAATTGATTCTTCATCTGCATCTGCACAGAATTGAGATGTGCTTTAGTTGTATATATTTTACTGATAGCCTTCCGAGATCTAATGATCTCTTTAGCCAGTATTGTGCACACTTGTTTATCATTCTTGGCTGCAGCTTCCTTTAGAGATCTTTTAATCTTATCCTCTTCTCTTTGTATACCTAAAACACAAAATAAATATGTAACTCGACCCGTGTCCTAGCATATCATAGCATGATGTTTTATAGCGTATAACCTTCCTCAAGAAATGAACTGTCCAACATAAAAATAATTATTCAATTCAGAGCAGTAGTTCCAGACATCAGTGTGTTTAATCAAACAGCTAATAAATAAACTCTTCAGCTTTATTAGTAATATAACATCACACCTTTTATCCTCGAAGGGGTAGGCAGAGGTCCACACAGAAGTAACACCCACTTTTCACTATTTATGTTATGGGCCCCATGTAATAGGGGGTGAGCCTATTGCCATATAATATATAAAATAAGTAAATAATATAATAAAATAATGACATTCAGCTTTAACCCATTCAAAAGGTTAATAAAACATTGCCCTAAACTATGTTTTCAATCTCTGTCTATTAATTTCACATGCACATAATATCATACAAAGAATAGCGACAAGTTGTCACACCAGTCACCCAGCCACAGCCTCATAGTGCAGTCAGATAAACAAAACTAACAAACAATTTATTTCAAAAACAACAAGTGATTAATTTAAATTGGTTTTAACCAAATATATTCTTAATAAACAGCTGTTCTGTCAGTTTCAAGATTCTTGCGCTATAGTAGGCCATGACTAAACTATGACCTTGACTCCAAGTATTTCAATAAACAAGTAATTGGCATTCCTATCGGGAAGTTCAGGTTATGTTTTAAGACTTCATAACTTGCTTTAAGAGGTTTTTATTTAATAATAGATGCTGTACTTACTTCTAATTTGTCTATCCAAGTTATATCCTTCTTTGCGTATCTTATGTGACCACTCGTTTACCTAAAATAATAGTTATATTTTTAGAAAAAGAAGTTCTTATTATGTTTTATGATTCGACACGTTACACATTAACACACGTACCATTTCTTTAGGATTTCTTTCAGGAGATTTTCCAAAAAGACCCATTTTGCACAGTAATAACAATATTACTTATTTATTTTTTAATTTGGAAATTATCAATGAATTTGTTTTGACAGAAAATAGGCAAAATTTTGACAGATGATGACTTCATCTATTACGTTTCGTTGCATAATGTGTTCAAAATTATGGTCTTTTGTAATTTAATCTACAGGCTGCTAAACAAAAGATCAATCATAATTCTGTGAACAAATTAATTCCTAATAAGTTGTATTCTGTACATAATTAAAAGAAAATAATTGAAAACATTTCTTTTGTCAGTTTGATGTTAGTTTAGGTCTATTCTATTAATGCTTGAAACGAAAAATAAATATGTATTCCTAATTTTACGCAAAAAAGCAGATTCGGCATAAAGTTGCTGGTATTGAATTCTGTAATTATTGTTAACTTTGTATGTTTTTTCACGCTTATTTCATTATTGAAATAATATTGAAAATAATATTGTTTATAATATACGTCTTTTTGAAATTTTCTTAAAGGTAAAAATAAAAAAACTTAGTACATCGTCGTAAAATGGAACGGTGGATCACAATTGTCATTTGTTTTGACATTATTGTGGTGTTGCTAAGATTAAAATTTTCTATATATTGCGAGGACATGAAAGAATATTGTTGTAAATAAAAAATAAAAATTTTCTAACAATAGACCAATAATAACGTATCATATAGATACGTTAGTTTTATGAATTAATTTTTAGATTTAGTGTGGCCCCTGAAACTAATTATCCAGTTATTTTCTTCCTAATGTAATTCTATTTTTTAAGAAAGTGGTATTTTTTTTGATACACTTGCAATACAGAATGTTTCAGTTTATCTGAATTATTGTTGTCGGTGCGAAATTTGAAAGGATTTTATTTTTTTCGCACTGAAATATCTATTTGAGTGTTCATGTTAGATCATTTTGTGTAAAAGAAGTGGCAAGGAGTATTTATTACCAGCAAAATCGACTAGGTAAGTTAATTTTTGGAGTCAAACAACCCGGCAGTTTGCAATCTTTTTTTAGACGTTCTATATTTGTGATAATCTTTCGGATGCAACTGATGCTGAGCTTAGCCAAAACATTTCAGTTACCGGTACATTGTTGCGTTAGAAATTCATAAGAAATAATGATAAAGCGATTTTGAGGTTATTTGCGAAGGAAAATAACATTTCGTGACCGTGACAAAATGCATGGTAAGCAAGCTTACACATGGTGTCGGCAACCATTGTTTATAGTCAATTAACGTCAAAACGACTCATAAATTGTCGATATATACTGAAGTTATTACTCTGGTCTTTTATCAAACAAGATATTATTACAAAATGGTAAAGTTCAAGCAGAAACAATGGCTTTATTCATGTCAAATAGTAGTATTATTTGTCATGCCATTATAAATCAATAGTTTGTTTATTGATCTACCTACTTGAAATGCGAAACTAATCATGATAGCATTACCTTCGAATTAATTAACTTTCACATGAATCTCAATTTTTAGTCATTCTGAGTGACTTGCAATGAAAATTTTGTTATTCAATATTGAAACATCCATGAGCCTTTTTGTCCAGAATCATAAGTTTACAATAGATTAGAGCTGATAAACAAACTAATATTAGTATAAAAATAAAAAATATGAATAAACATTTTCTAAGTACTACTTGGCGGTCCATAGTCTGTCTACCCTCATGAGAGACAGGCGTTAGGTTATGAATGTATGAAGTATGTAGTTGAATGCCTGACCCCTCCAATACCAAGAAACAAATTTAATTACTTAAAAATAAGGACAGGAAGTACTTATTGTAACCGGCAAATGTACGTAGTTTTAAAGATAATTGGAGATCACGCGATCTCGATTGTCAGTAATCAAGTCATCAGTCATCTCATTCACATGACGGATGATCATTTAGATTACGGACCAAGTTGGTACTTTTCGCGAATCGTCAGATCCTACGGAACGCAATGGCAATTTGAATTATATATATCAAGTTAGTTATCCTGACGAAGTGACTGTTGTCTAAGAATACGTAAGGAGAGGCTTTTTCGACACGTTTTTTTTATCGGTTCATCAAAATCAGTTTAGGTGTTTAGTTGTAAATTGAGTAACTACCTAACTCACATTTTTTAATAGACGACAGTAAGGATAATTAATCATCTAATATTTATGTGTAATAATCTAGGTACCAAAGTCTCTAGATAATGATCATAAGAATATAGGCGACATATTCTTGTACCATTATAAAATTGGGCTAGACAGATATACCTAGATGGCATTCTATAGATGGACCATAGTTTTTAGCTTCCATCAAATTCATGCATGTGGGTGATACACACAATGTTTATGATCATAACCTGTTGTAATAAGGTAAATTTTATAATCTTAAACATCCAAATGATACAAGTAGCCCCATCCAGTTTTTCTTTGGGAAGTTTACCGCTCAGGATATCATTTGTTAATTTGTATTTTTTCTCTGCTTGCTTGTCTTTGCATCGGCCTATCGCATGGCGCCGGAATGTGCTTTCTAAGTTTCCACAATAAATTACATATCAAAGTGTCCATGATTTATTTAAATCAAAGCAACCACTTCAATAACACAATTTAATCATGATTTCCCTTACAATATTGGCTGAACGTTGACCCTAAGGTACTAAGTTGTTATACAACGTGCCCTGGTCCTTTATCTAAGGTCAAACACGCTCAAAGCTCGTGTCGTTTAAATGTAACTCGGTAACTCCTCTACAATATGACGCAAAATGTTATCTAATTAGAGATCTGCACAAATTATGACGCTATTGTGAAGTTCTACATTCTATTTTAGTTGTAGCAATGTTTATACGGCCTATTTTTAAGTTTCTGCGCATTTTTTTTGATAAGAATGTTTGTAAAGACGTTTATTTTTAACGCTAGTTGGTCGTTTTCTTTGATTTACGGGTTTTTTTTACGGGGGGTATATAATCAAATGACTGCTCCCGCCTGGGTGAGGCGGGAGGGAGTGTCAGACTCTTACTGACTAAAAATCACCCCGTTCCTTTTCCTGCACATCGAGCCGGAGCCCCGGTACCCCGTTAGGTTCTCCGCGACTTGCGAGTTTAATTTCATCATAAGTTTTTGGTATGTTTACATTTGGGATGTTTCTTGATTAATGGCACTGCCAACTTATTACTCCAAATCCCAAATCATCGGTTCGTCATTGATGCTATACACTCATTCCAATCCGATCTGGGAGCATACCCAGTAGTTTGACTTCTGTTATGCCGTGATCATGAGTGTACAATAATCAAATTCTTGATAAACATACCACGCTTAGGAGCAAAGAGACGGAACTACTACCATTTTTCATTTTCCATTTCTTAATAATTATATTCTGACAAAAGTAAATTATTAATTGGTAACATATGTCATATAAAAGGCAATTTAGATACTTACCTTTAAAATAAGAACAGCAAAAGGAATGAGGGTTCAATAAAATGAAAAAAATGATGGTGACTACTTCCAAGTATTTAAACTAATACTTCAGTTTTATAACACCAGTCAGTATATAATAAGTACTAATAATGTATGACAAAGTTACAGGAGCTTTAGTTAGTAGTTATAATCATACGACTACTGTTACTATTGTTTTGTCAACTAACATTATTCATATCGATCGCTTGCTTATGAATTTACACAATCTGCATAACAATAGCTAGGGTTGCTGAATTTATTTTCACTTTCAAAGGTTACCGGATGTATGACGTCTATTATCATAATACCTAGCTTTTTTTTGAAATGAATAGCGAAATGGACTTAATGAATTTTTCATTCTAGAATGCAAAGCGGTTCCTGTGTTTCTTGTGTCCGATTTTTTAACTTGACTTAACTTGAGCTTTACATAGAATAGCAAATTCTGTAACTCTTAGTAACATTGGAAATGATTCGTCGTATTGCCTTCATACAAAATACACGAGGTTTCCCTAAACTTAACTTAGAACCAACCTATCTCTTATTAATTTTGTTAAAAAATACTTTAGAAATATGATGACCACGTTTACCAATTTGTTATCAAGAATTGTAATTCTTACCTGGCACCCCTAATATACCTACTCCTACCTTACTACAAAACGCACGACATGTGAGCAGTACATTTCGCAATGCGCCGGCGCAGGGCGGAAGATTGCGGCGTACGCGCACCACGATTTGCGAAACACTTACTAATGTTGTCACCGTAATGTGTCTTGCATGATACCATCATTTTGCCATCATCATGCCATATCTTCCTAACTGGTACTAAGAAAAAAATGGACGTCCAGCCTTTTTTGTCTCAAATTCCTTCTGGATAGTTTCTTCTGTTGGCCCTTCCATTATTTCTTATCAGATCACCTCCCGTTTATTTTGCAATCACTGCTCACTTAATTAGGTATTATGTTTTCGGGCTACACACGTAAGGGCCGAAACACATAACCGCGTTGCGTCGCCGCAACGCTAAAATCGGCAGTCGCAGCGCTCGTTCCAGCATAGCAAAGTAATGTCTTCTTAATAACAAATAAGCAATACGTTTTTCACGATGGTCTATGGTAGAGATACGATACCCTACTGAACGACAACAAAACGCTCTTTTTTACGATGTGACGTTATGTGTTTCGGCCCTAACTGTTTGACGAAGAACTCGTGTAGCAGCGTGACAGTCGCCGCGTCGCGGGTCGCAGCATGCAGCTCTTGAATATGAGCTTCTAGCTTGACTTGAAACTAGTCGATTTCCTCGTCAAACAGTTACGTGAGTAAGACATGATAAGTAATTAATTTAGCATGTGTCACGAAAGTTATAATATAAACACTGCTTACTTAATCCCACACACCGCGTATCTTAAGAATCACCCGATGTTCTTCGATTATTGCTATTTTACCAATGGCATGAATCATTTAAGACAACTACTTTTCGCTAGTTCTGTTATTACTCCCTCTTATAATCGCATTAATGTGAATCGAGTTTACAGAGCTAATACGCTGTGTATTGCGAATTCCTAAAGCATCCGAA